AGATTAAGCACTGATTTTAGATTGAAGAGTGATTTAGGATCGAAGCGTTTGTTTCGTTTAATAAAGATCGTACGAATCATCCGCAGAACTGTGTACAGAGCCCCCCGTTTATGGCCGTTTATTGAAAGTTTTTCGACACGGCCGCGCGACAAGTAGAAAAGTCCGTTCGTGGCCAGACAATAATTAGCACGCGAGTGTCACCACAGAGGGAGACGCTATAGTACTTTTCGCACGGTGCGTTGCGACAGACCTTGGCCAAATACGGACACCGTGCGTGCGAAGTAGAACCGGCCGTACGTGGTCAGACACGAATTATTACCGGAACGGTGGCCGCTCTTTTCTTCGTTTCCCTCGGGTATCGTCGTGTTGTTTTACCGGCGAGACTGGATGATAAAAAAGCAAGGAGGCTAGCTTCACCTTGACCTACGTTATAAAAATAACGCGCCGCGCGGGGACCAGCACATATATTCAAGTGGTAATTGCCGGATCGTGTCGGCTGTCGCAATGTTTCCATTATGAAATTTCAGAATACGCTGGTCACCGCGTTTTAATGTCCCCCCGCGGTAGCATTGGCCACGTCAGACGGGAATTGTTGACAGTCGGTATTAACCGGCACGGTACGACCGTCTCTGCGAAGGAAGCAGTCACGCAATGCGTGACATCAGCTAAAAGTACTCGCTCGTAAAAAGATCCTCCAACGCGTCAAAGAGGAAAAATACTTTGCTCTTGTACTTTTCAACGGTTATAGAGGAACCCAATGGCAAGAGATCGATTAATTTCCTCGGTTGTAATACACGCAGCAAACACGGAAGAGAAGCCGAACGAGCGAACGAAGCGGGCCCCTGCAGCGAGTCCTCGGCTACCTGTCGATTATGCAGCGTCGTGAGCGCTCATGACCGTAATTTCGCTGGATCTCTCACGAATTCCCGCGTGTCGCTCGTAACGAAGCAGATACCATCGCTTCTCTTGCTTCTGGCACAGGAAAAAAAATACCTGTTCGTTTCCCCTAAGGTGCCGCCGGTGAGCGCGCGTTTTACACGCTTTCCACTGCGCAGTAGTGTAAGCTAGCCCTCTGTGCCTTCTTCCCTCGACCCACGATAATGGATTCATACGTTCGCGGGAGTGGGGTCACGCTAACGACATGCTAATGCTCACCGCTCGTGGAATTAATGGAGGAAACTCGATCGTTCAGGGATGCGGGGAGAGCGAAACCACCGCAACGACGCCCGAAGGAATGTTTCGCGTATAAGAACACCGTATTGGACGGGGCATTATTACGATCATCGAGGCGAAACTAAACGCGAAGGGTAGCGCGGATAACGTGTACCGATCGTTGGATGCCAGAGGTTGACAGGTCTAACTAAAGGAGTTACGTTCACTTGGATTTTCGAGCGGTCTTGAGTCTCTCTCATCGAATAGACTGGCGTCGCTGTGGTGGCTTTCATACGAGGGGATTTCTTTATTGTGGAAATACGAAGAAATCATACGTAGAGTCAATCTTGTAAGGGAGCCGTAGTCGGAAATTGATGTCAAATATTCTAGAAACTAAGAATTCAATTCTGTACATTAGCACTTTTGTACTTCGAATTTCTTTATTCTACGAAAATATTTAAAGACTGGATACTTGAGGATCAAAACGAAGGTGTAGAATTAATTCCTCACGACTCGATGATTTCCGGACTGTTATCATAGACTCACGTACTTTACATCTGCGATCGATGCTCAGAAGGACGACCATGACGAGCCTGATGTTTGCCAAGTTATACCCGACCGATTGGACGAACCTGTACGAGAGTATTCAAGAACGCGTGTCGTTCTATCTTGGTGGTAGTTTATCAAGGGGATTTGCGGGACTTTTGCGATTTCATTGACATTACGATATAGACAGTTTTTAGCTCGAACTTTTTACAGGGTCATCAAATACGCATTAGAGTCTACGTGAATACCATTGGAAACGTTTTAAAGATCCTCTTCCACCAATTTGTTAATTGCGCAATCGTCAAGGTATGCCGGCAGAACGACGACGTGAATTCTCGATTCACGGTGAATGAACACTCGAGGTTGATTCAGCGACAAGCGTCGTTACACAATCCTCAGATACTTTGAGATAGGGATCTTCAGATATCAATTTTCCATTTCAAGCGGTCCAATTAGCCGTTCGAAATTCACACGCTCGAAACACACACGATGCAGAACGAGTTGCAACCACGAACACGAGTCCTTCGATGTACTACTCGGTACATGCATTAATTAACATTGAATCGTGAACATTTATTCATTTTACGAACGAGAAGAATATCGTAAAAACGTGATGAATAACGTAAAAATCCGCAGTCTGATTACGAAGAATCTGAACTGTAAACGACGACAGGCTTGCATGCTTCGAAACGAGGACCATGGAATGATCAACCGATGACAAGCTGGTTCCCCCGAGCAGCCACGCCCGCGGATGATACGCTCATTCGAGCATTATCCGAGCGACTCGCGGCCAACAGCCTTGTAAAATTTGCTTTTATCGTCAACGGTCAAGAGTATCGTCATGCAGCGTAACGATTTACCTTCGATGCGACGGAACCTGCAGAGATCCGATCTTGTCGTCGAGGAACCTCCTCATAGCGAACCTGTCCAACGCTTGATCACGTCCGCCGCAGATGCTGCTGTAGTTCATGTACGCCGACACAGCCACACCCAGTCGTTCTTTGCTCCCCCTGAACAGAGGCGCGGAATGAGCTTTCAATTTCTTACCGAGTTTCCACGTCTCCTCTTCTCTTCCGGCCGAGGCAAGACGAGAAAGAAGAAAACGAACGAGAGGAAGGAGAATCATCATCTCGAGGAAGAAGACTCACCTGGCGTGGAGAACGACCACGCGATTCGGAGCGCCGTTCAGCCAGGAGTCCAGCTCCTTGCACAAGGCGCACAGCCTCTCCAAACTGGGCGCCAGACCCTGCGGCCACCCTGCCTCCCTCGTGTTTGGCTCGCCTGCGCGACCTGCCGACGACAGGTTGAATATCTGCAATTTCAACAAATTTGCGTGAAAGTTGTAGCTGTACATCGGTTCGTCTGTAGTGCCGAGTAATTGAATACAGGCCACTGTTGAACTAATATTGTTATTACTACTAGTTGGAAGGGCTCGTAGATTCTCTCGCACGATAGTAACAAGTTTCTTCGAGATTCTTCGAAGGAGCAAACTTCACGTAAAATCGCGGAGGATATATAAATCTTTTCAGAACACGGAAAGTAAAATTAGTACGACTTTGTCTAGGTAAAGGCCGTACTTGGCGATTAAAGTGCATCGATTGCAACGTTGATTAAAACGTACAAAGCGTATCTTATTGATAATGTTGCGAACCAATTATTTCAGAGCAGTTCTCGTTTAATAAAAAAAAAACGCGACCATCAATCTACAGCCATTAACTCGTCGCTCACCATATAATTATCACCGTGCTTCCCTCGCAGGAGTGCGGTAGCATGTTCAAGGACTCCCTGCGCATCCTCCCTGTACCAGAGTGCAATGATTCTTTCGGTGACGTAACAAAGCTCCATTACTTCTGTCACGCGACCTCCGCCCTTTCCGGATCCTGTCGTCGTCGCGTCCGCGCCGACGCCCGGCGTCCTCGCGGGCGTCGTCGCCGACAAGGACGTCTGTACCTGAAACAAGACCGTCCTTAATTAACATATCAGCCGATGGCGAAATAAGATTTCACAGAACGCAAGTTAATTATTTAATTTTTTTCTCCCTAAGTAACGATCTTCTAAAATACTGGGAAATGGTCGCCCGCTGAAATTTTGCAGCTTTTACGAAGGGGAAATTTCACTGCACTCTCACTGGGATCACGCAGATCCCTTTGCCCAAAATTCCCTGAAAAGCTGATTCATGAAACACTTTGCTCACTTGGCTATCCAATTTATATTCCTCTTCCACGGAGAAAGACGAATCGCGACTCGTAAAATTTCCTCTTCGATTCTCCCAGTAAACACACCCAAGACGCGCGCACTCTACTCACTTTGCCTGGAAATGGATTATTCTAAATTTACCATCTAAATCCACGACACTAGAGACGTAAGTTAAATTTCCTCTGTCTCTTAGAGTAGAAAAGGGCTGTTTCAAAACGCAGTAACGCCACCTTTTCGCAATTTCACCATTACGAAGATATCAATTGAACTATACTCTCAATCACCAAATGGATATTTATCGTTTACGTTTTTCTTGTAAAATAAAGCTAAACCTTGGAATATTTCGGCGCGTAGAAGATCCTGACGACGACGACGACGGTGTGGTGCGGCATGGCGGTGGCCTTCTGGCAATCGCTTTGTCCCAGCGGATCGACATGAAATCCTCTCGGTCTAACGCGAGCTTTTATCTCGGCCGGGAAGTCGACGAAGAAGGATGCGAAAACGACACGGCACGATAGAATGACAGACCGGCGACTATTGTACGCTTCTCTCGATTCCGCTGAATTCACGACGTCCTGTCCTGATCGGGTCTAACCACGAGTCTCTCTCTACTTGCACAGCTGACGTCCAGCTATTCCCCTTCCTTTTGTCGACTCGTGCAACGCGATTTCTCTCGCTCCGCGTGCACGTATGATGTAACGAATTCGTCCAGGTAGCGTGATTTCAGTCAAAGTCACGCTCGTCGTTGAACGAGCGCGAGGCTCGCATTAGCGGAAGAACATGATCAACTGAGGCGGGACGGTGTGTGGGTAACTCGACTTCAAGGGCGACGAGTGTGGAAAAATCGCGTCGACGAAGAGATATGAATAAGCTCCTTGTCCGCGAATTGCGTCGAGTCTTCGTCGGGCACGCTGTGGCTCCGGCTGTAATTCCAGTTGGCCAAACGATCGATGTATACGAGTTTCCAAACGAGCGGATATATCGAGTGTCCCGGTGGAATTTGTACAGTATGTTTTGATACTATGTTCAGCAGAGTTATTATTCTTTCACTGGCTTTTGAAAATCGTATCCTCCGCGTAAGACGCCATTTCCCGCAAACACTCCCGAGCGACGATGTGATTCTTCCGCACGTCGGAGAAATATCTCACGCGCCACGGCACCGGAGTACACACCGTGCCTTCATCGATAAAGCTACCTTCGGAATTACCAGCGGAGAATCATAAACTTCCTCGAGACGAGGCAACCTACCACCCGCCACTTCCTCTCTGCGAAACGTCCGTTTCCCTCGTCATGCCGCGGAAATAATTCAGCAGAACGAAGAAGAAAGGATATCGCTGCACGATCCCGCAACGTTATCACGGAGGAACGGCCGCCGACGGAGTTTACCGGTTTCCACATCCTCGATGAAAAATCGGCCCGCCGTCAGACGATATTACGACTTATTCGCGCGTGACGCCTGACAAATCGCGCGAGCAACCCCTCGCTCACGGAACTCCTTTCCCGACACGCTGGATTCTTCGCGAAAAAGGACGGTCGTGTGTGTGTGTGTGTGTGTGTGTGTGTGTGTGTGTATGTGTGTGTACGAAAGGCCCCCCGTCGATCGTCGAATCTTAAGCAAGCGTGAGAAATACGAAGGACACCGTGGCGGCGTACTCGTGGTAGGCCGAGCTTTCAAAGAACGACAGCTGCGGTAGGACCGTACCACGGTAGGCGTAATGGCAATTTCACACGTGAGACCCAACGCCGGGAGGGATTTATGGTCGTGGCGGACCGGCACGTACACCGCCGCACGACCATAAGTATTGCGAACGTTTGCGAATTTTCGTAGGCATACGCGTCCAAGTTGATGAAAACTCGAAATCGAAAGAATCGTTCATCCTTGAAGGCAGATCAACAGACAGATAAATTTGTGTAATCTCAACTAGGTGTGTAGACACTGTCACGTCTTTTTCAAATTCAACGATCGATAAAACGAAGTAAATGGAATATATAATATAATATATTAAATGTATCATTATCTTGAGACTAAATATAGTTAATAGGTTAGTAAGATAATTACTAGATTACTAAGATTTTCATGAAGAAGTCGAAAGAAAGAGATGTACATTATAATTCTTGACAGTGTGATGAAAGAAATTTTCACGTAGAAAATTACATGAAATCTGGTAAGTAGCATCGCGACGATATTATTGCTAAATATGGATATTTCTTCCCGAGATATGAAACTTTTCGATCGAATTACACCAAGTGTCGTCTGAATACGTCTATGTGTAGCGACATCTTATTTAGTCTTATAAAAAGTTACCATGGAACAAACAAATTTTTACAAACTTTACAAACAAATTGCCGAGAATATATATAATAGTAAATAAGAAATTAATAAATAGTCGTCAGTTTTAATTCATCCATTAAATTCTATATCATGTAAACATTAACCCCTTGACACACGAATTAAGTGAAATTCGATACCAAAAGATGATACTTATCTTTCATTTTAACATTTTTCTACTCTTATTATATTTATATATTGCCGCAAAATGTCGTGAACGCAATGCTCATAAACAAAATTACTAAAAAAAAAAAAAGAACGATGAAAGAACAAATTGATAATTCAATAGTCCTTAGGAAACGCATGATGTCTCCCAGACGTCATTGTATGTCAAGGGGTTAAAATAAATTATAAAATTTTCCTCTCTGTAGTACGGTGACTTTATTATTTATCGATCATCGTACCTACATATGAACGACGGTGCGCGAGCGAGTTGAAGCTGGTCGCAGCTTGCGAGAGAAGCGGACGAGACGCGTTACGATCCCATAAACGTATTTTTAGAGGCCTACGAGTTACCAGGTCCGTCTCTCTTCCTCTTCGACTCGCTGTTTTGACGAGATCACCGTACGCAGAATCGTTAAAATTTCAATTTACTCGAAAGGGAGTCCTGCGCACGAGCAGGAATCGCGATGCAATTTTCTGGAGGGAACGAATGAAAATTTGATCGGCATTTCTCGCGTGTGTCACGGACACCTCGCAATGAATATTTCGCAAAGAAATACGACGTTGGGAAATGAATTTTTATTCGTGTGCTCTTTGTGGAAAGAGTTTCTACGTTGCTTTGATCATTTCTCTGAAATGACTTTTAAGCATAGTGAATTATCCTTTTAGAGTCTCAGATATATAGCGCACAATGAATAGAAAGATCATCGAGTAACGAATGTGTCAGTGAATATCGCGGTGTCTTGCACAGACTGGACGTTTCTACTTACGAGCGGTTTCTACGTGGCGCAGAGTGTAAGCGTTAAGAGATTAAGACCAGAAGAATGCGACAATTACGATTAATTATCCTTGTAGAGAGTATCGTTCGATTGAAACGGCTCGTAATGATCTACGAAAAAATAGATAGTTTTTCTCAAAGCTACACATTGTTTATAATCTGTAAAATTTCTAGAAGAAATAGTCACTGTCACTACTGCACCTTGGTAGTTCTTGTAAATGGATCAAGCTCTTGCTGCGATACATCTGTAACTTCAAACGTGCACAGCGAATTCGAAATAGCTTGTTTTCATTCCGCGAAACGTTCAAAGACCTAACACACCGAGAGGGATGGTTTTACTGCCAGGAATATCGTTTTTAATTGATTTCTGCTTGCGTTCTCTGCGATTCACTGTGTCCATTGACGGAGTCGTGTCTAATTCAGTCGTAGACAGTGACATTAGTAGGAAGCAATTATTCGGGGGCGTGAAGGAAACCTTTGCGCCGGTAATGTCAATTATCGTTAATCCGCGTAATTGCTGCCAGCTAATTTCTAATTGCGAGTAGAGTGCCAAGCGAGAGAGTGGGCTTTATCGTTATCGACTTCTTTCCGTTCGAACGTGCTCTCTCTCTCTCTCTCTCTCTCTCTCTTTCTGTTAACTAACCAATACCTGGAGAGATCCGATCGATAGTGGAATGTTTCGCCAAAGATCCGGAAAGGATGCATTCCAAACCTATCGGAATTTTAAATTATCCGCTCGCCAACGTTCATGTTTCATCGTTCCTTCGATCATTTTCAGTTTCAATTCTTTCGATTCTTTCGATCGGCCGTTACGTTGCTCTCGTGACGTGAATTTGTTATTTAAAAGTAAAATACTTGTACCCGGTATTGCGAGCGCTCCGGATTCTCGAGATTTCATAAGACCTAAGTGGAAGTAAGAGCGACGAAATATTAAACGGAATTCCTTGGAAAAAACTAGGAAAATTCCAAGAGAACGCGCGAACGCGTTATTGATCGAGAAAAAAAAAAATTGCAAACGAGAGACGTTGCATCTGTCAGCCGTAATGTAATTTCATTCCATGCTCGCTTCGCTAACGCGACGCTGATACTCGATACGAATGTAATGGTTGAAGTGCTGCTTGAAGTATTCCTTCGAGCTTCAGATGAGTTAAGGTTCGTTCAACTGTTCCACCAGTTGTGCTATGAACACGTTCAATCATATCGGAGAGATGATCCTTTCTTGTCCTTTAGAAATTCTTCTCAGACGCGCCATACGTTAGTGCAATCCATTTGCTTATTCAAATTAGCCACTCGCTTTTAATCACGCGTCACTTTCTTTAATCTTTCGCCTTATTGCTTGAAATTAAAAGACCTCGTATCTGTAAAATTCTTCAAAGTATTAAATTCGAGTTATTCGATGCCTTCTGCCAGCCCTGTCAAAAATCCAAAAAAAAAAAAAAAAAAAATCAAACCCAGTCCTCGATAAAAGCAGGCTTTAAGTTTTAAGTCCACTTTCTCTTAAATTCAGTCAACTCTCTTTGCGCGTCTCTCTCTTGCATTTCGAGCATTTTCATCGACACCGAATGCCATCAGAAATCGATAGAGCAATTTCGCGATGAATTCCCGCGCGGTTACCTACGATCGTGGACCATTGAGAAACGGTTTTCTCGCGACAATTGGTAATAACCAGTTACGAGCGATTGTCGGAATTCCCTTCGTATCGCGGCGAGTTTTGCATACAACTTGCTGCGGCACCGCGCGTGTATATTCGCGGAAGAAAAGCAGCCACGGTACGAGCGTGGATAAGGGTTTTACGAATGCATTACACGGCCGACGTCAATATACATGGATTATCTCGGTGGAGCATCGGTTGATACTTGCACCGTTCGTACCTACAGTGTGCTAGCTTACTACCACTTTACCGAATAATTTTCTCCGCTGTCGACGTTAATGCATAAAAGGCCCGGCCTGGCTGCCGCTCTACCCGCTGTTATGATTTAAAAAAAAAAAAAAAAAAAA